AAGTTCCCAGGTCCTCCCTGGCGCTCTACCCCAGCCGCGCAGCTCTGCAGCCTTGCCCGCGCTCCTCAAGGTGAGTTTGGGCTGAGGTTTTTCAGGCCTCTGGTGGCTTCTTGTAGAGTCCCATCCAGGGTGGCGCTCGGTCCCGGCCCAGACCAGAGACCCCTTAGCAGGCGCCGGGGTCCCCGCCCCGGTACCCATGACCTCCCACAGCGCCCAGGGCGCTGTGCTGTCAGTTTCGTAGCTCCGGGCTGCATACAGTGTTCTCTGCTGAAACTCCGGGACCAGGGAGCATCTTCTCCTTGGCCCGCGTCCCCGCCTGGGCTGGAGGCCGTATTTTTAGCGAATGGTGAGGTGTCCTCCTATCTTTAGCTGCAGTGTTACTGAAACGGATCCGGGCCGCGCTGGGCAGCTCTTGGCTGGGGAACTGGAGGGGTCCGCGCGGGAACACGAGTCAGGGCTGAGCAGCCGGACTCGGCGGGAGGGCGGGGGCCTGTACGTCCGAAACCTGGCGGTGCGCCAAACAGACACTGAGACCTCGCCCAGGCCGGGAAGCTCAGACAAGGCTCCTCCCAGAGCTTGGGGACCCGGACAAGGTCCCCGATCCTCGCAATTCAGCCCTCACCGTGGTCTGATTGTGCAACCCAGAGAAAAAGGCCCTGTGGGTGATACACCTCGGGAACTTGAGCGCGCAGCTCCTCGGTGGGCGTCTGCCTGGAGCCGGTGTGCTCGGTGGGACCCTAAAACGCTGGGTGATAGCGGGGCGCTCGCGCCACCTAGCGACCACGGATCCTAGCGCTTCTCTGCACTGGGACCCAGGGAGGTGGTCTGCTGCAGGAGAACCAGATTCTGAGATGGCCCTGGAGGAGACCAAGAGGAGGTGGCCAAGAGGAGACCCATACCTGGGGACTAAGAAGGGTTCAATTTTCGTTTTTCTTGCAACCAAGGAGAGCTGAAGGGTTTGAGAAAGCCCCTGCAGATATTTGCTAAATATCCTTTGATAGTGGCTGTCCACATACACATCTATTTATACAGAGCCTCTTGTTTCCAGTATCGCAATGGGTCAGCCCATTTTAAAGATGGGGACGGTGAACCCAGTTCCAGAGAGGAAAGGTGCATTAGAGTCCCAGGTGGAACTAGATTCCAAACCATTCCTTTTGGACTGGCAAGATGTCTCAACAGAAGTCGCTTGCTGAGCAAGCTTGGAGATGAGTTCTATCCCCAAAACCTGTAACGATGCAAGGAAATAACCGGCTCCCCAAAGTTGCCCTCTGACCTCCACACGCATGCCATAGTACATACTAGCTTGTGCATGAGCGTGTGTGCTCGTGCACACGCGCGTGTACACACACACACACACACACACACACACACACACACACACACACACCATGCATACTCACACAATAACAATAAATAAAACTTTTTAAATTTTTGTTTGCTTGTTTTTTAGAGGCAGTTTTTTAGTTCTTAGAGGGAGGCAGATTTCTAAGTTCTACTGTCCTGTTCTACAGAGTGACTATCAGCCAGGACTGTCAGGACAACTGGTTACATGGAGAAATCCTGTCGAAAAAACAAACAAAAACCCCTTTTTAGTAAGCATTTAAGAGAAAGGGCAAAAATCACACCCAGAGCTGGGCATGGTAGCATACCTTTCTTTTCTTTTCTTTTTTCTTTTTTTTTTTTTTTTTTTGAGACTTGGATGTTCAACAGGGACTCACTATGTAGCCCTGGCTGTCCTGGAACTCACTATGCAAACCAAGCTGGTCTGCATGGATCTACCTGTCCCTGCCTCTGCCTCCCAAGTGCTAAGATTAAAGACATTATCCTGCCAGGCCAGGTGGCACACTTTTATTTTTGGTTTTTTGAGATAGGGTTTCTCTGTGTAGCAGCCTTGGCTGTCCTGGAACTCACTTTGTACACCAGGCTGGCCTTGAACTTACAGAGATTTGCCTGCCTCTGCCTTGCTAGCACTGGGATTAAAGGTGTGCGCCACCACTGCCCAGCTTCAGGTGGTACACTTTTAATTCCAGTACTTGGGAGATGGAAGTAGGCAGATGTCTGTGAGTTTAAGGCCAACCTGGTCTACATAGTGAGATCCTGTGACAAAAGATAAAAAGCCATTAGTTTTGAAGTATGTATGGAAGGAGGGGAATTTCCATGAACATCCAGAGTGAGCAGGGCTAAATATTCTCCATGACCAGAAGGGATCTGCCTCCAGGAAGTCATTTTCTCTGAGGGAGGCTCAGTATTGCTGTCCAGGGCAACCCACAGAGCTGGGATGGCCTCCATCTGCTCCTCCCCATTGCTGGAGGAAGCTCCTCCTGGCAGCCTTGATCTAATCAGAGCTCATTCTTGTAGCTCTGAACACTTGCAAGTTGGGGAAGTGGCAGCCAAGGGATGTGACTACATAGAGGAAGCCTGGAGACTTGCTAATGCCTCTTCTGTTTCCCATCCATAGCACCATGGTATGGTCCACTGCCTGGAAGCCACGTGGCTAGCCTTGGTACCAGGTGCCTTTTCTTACTAGCTGGATGACCCTGATGAAGCTCCTTAATATCTCTGAGGTTACACTCTGGTGGCTATTTAGGACAGTAATGGCACCCACCCCAACGTGGCTTAGAGAGTTAATGTGTAAGGAACCCCCATGGCAGGCTGGAGCCTCTGATCTGTGGTTTCTAGATCTTCTATTTAGGATTGCTGGTTGTTATTCCCAGCTTTCTCCTGGGTGGTTGATACTGGCCCCACCCTTCCTTTTAGCCTCTGTTCTCCTCACATCTGGATTTGGGTGGGTACATCTGGCTCAGAGTGAGACAGCTGTCAGGGACGCCCAATTTGCTGTGGAAACACCCAAGCTGTCTTGGAGCTCTAGTGTGATGAAGTGAGGATGGGGGAAGGACCTGGCCCGGGCTATAGGCAGATCTCACCAATCATCCCAGCTCTCTCTCACAGCATAAATCAGTGATGGGATTGTAAGATTTAGGGTGCATTTTTTTTTCCCACAGCTCCGCTAGAATTAGCTGGAATCATTCCTTTGTTTCCTGTTGGCTACAGGTGCTCTGGAGGCTAGGGATGTCCAGCCTCCATGGTTCACCATGACTGGCCTAGGGTGTCCGGCCTTGGGGTGGGGTTTCCTGAACAAGGGCCTGTGTGGGATGGTGTCACTTAGGACTGTGCCCTGCCTGCATCCTTCTGCCTCCTTCCTGCCCTTCCTGATTACCCTTAGCCTACCCAGGATGGAGACTGAGGCAGAGGAAATGGGGGATGTCTCATTTACTCAGGTATGGGCTAGTCTAGAGGAGGCTTCATGTAGGAAAATGGGCTCATCTGGCTTCAACGCTGGCCCTGCCCCTGGCTGTGATCTGAGCTTGGATAAGTTTCCTTGCCTTTTGTACTGGGTTCTGAACATGGAGTCAGCTGAGATTGTAGGGGGCCAGCCAGGCCCTCCACACACCAACCCCCACCAAGGGACTGGAGGGTATATGGGCTCCACTTCTGCTTCCTTCTTCGTTGAACCAGCATGACCCCCATTCACAGGGTATTTTTTCCACCTTAAAAACAGTTTTGCTTTTTTTCCCCTGACTACATAAACAATACATGCTTATTAAGAAACTGATAGCTGGAGTGTAGTTTTTTGGATTTTTATTTATTTGTTTTGTGTTTTTAGACAGCACCTCAAAAAAGAAAACTACATTTATATAAAACTGAACAAGTGCTCACTGTAACAGCACATACATTAAATCAGAACAATACAGAGATGGTTAGTGTAGGTCCTGTGCAAGGATGACACTCAAATTTGTGAATCATCCATTATATTATTATTATTATTATTATTATTATTAGTTCTTTGAGACAGGGTTTCTCTGTGTAGACCTGGCCATCCTGGAATTGTCTCTGTAGAACAACTCAGAGATTCACCTGCCTCTGCCTCCCTAGTGCTGAGATTAAGTCGTATGCCACCACTGCCCGGCCTGCCCTGCTTTTTTTTTTTTTTAATTTCTTATTTTATGTGTATAAGTGTTTTGCCTATATATGTTTGCATGTTCCTTTATGCATGATACCTGCGGAAGCCGGAAGAGAGCATCAGATCCATGGTTACTTGTGGTTGTGAGCTGCCATGTGGGTGCTGGAAGAACAGTAAATGTTCTTAACCACTACGCCATCTCTTCAGTGTCTTCCACCGTATCCTTTTATTTTTTTAAGAATCTGGGCATAGTGGCATTCACCCTCAATTCCAGCACCCAGAAGACAGATATAGACAAATCTCTGAGTCCCAGGCCAGTCAAGGTGAGACTCAGTCCCCCCTCAAAAATGTCTAAACAAGAGAGAAGTCAGCCTGAAATTATAACATCACCAGCATTTAGGCCAACACCCTGTCACACACACGTATATTATAGATCACCTGCTGGGAACACCTTTCCTTCCAAACCAGTGACCACACACTTCCTGTTTCTTTCTCATTCCTCATGTTAAGATAGGATCCTATACAGGCTGGCATATATGGAGTATGGATGGCAGGAGCATTGGTTAGTCAATGCTTTTAATAAATGGTACCCTCTCAGGCCTAGAGAGATGGCTCAGTGATTAAAACACTTGTTGCTTTTGCAGAGGTTGGGTTCCCAGCACCCACGTGGTGGCTCACAACCCACTGTTAACTCCAGTTCTAGGGCATTTGATGCTCGCCTCTAACCTCTATGTAGACACCAGCCATGTATATGGTGCACTTACATATTTACAGTCAAAGTACTCATATACATAAATAAAGCTAAAAAATTAATGGCATCCTTCTGACTATGTTTCCACATTTTGCTTGCCTCTCTGTGTAGTGTCTTGTAGAAATCCAAACTGTTTTTGATACTTCCCGCTTGTTTCAATTTGTTTCTCATGCTAGAAGTGTACTCTGCCAGGAGCTATGTGGCACCCCTGAGAGTTTTAATGTCCAAATGGGGATCATAGGAGTTTTGTAGTAACATGTTTACAAAGCTCTCAGAAGAATGCCAATCCCCCAAAAGTATTGTATATCCTGCTCCATCTCTATGCTCGGCCTGGGAGGAGGGGCAGGGAACAGGGTGGAGGAGCTGGGAAAAAGGGCAGGGGGCAAGGAGCAGTGTCAGACAGATACACCAGACTCAGCCTCTGCGCCTAACCTGAGGGAGGAGGAAAGGGAAACCTCCAAGTGGGAAGTGATGGATCCAGTGTGAGGCTTTTGCCATTCAGCATCGTTGGCTGGGTTCCTAGCACTGTACCAGGCCTGGGTGGGAGAGGCAGGTTCCAAACTCCCCATCCTCTGTTGAGTAGGGAGTTGATACCAATGGTGATATGAAACCCACATACAATGAGGCACTTCCTGTGTGGTGGAACATAGCTGATGGGAGTCAGGGATAAGAGTGAATACCTGGCCTGGCAGTGGTGGCATATACCTTTAATCCCAGCACTCGGGAGGCAGAGGCAGGCGGATCTCTGTGAGTTTGAGACCAGCCTGGTCTACAAGAGCTAGTTCCAGCACAGCCTCCAAAGCTACACAGGGAAACCCTGTCTCGAAAAACCAAAAAAAAAAAAAAAAAAAAAAAAGAACGAACGAATACCTGGGCAAGAGCAATAAGCAAAGGATCAGGGGCAGGAATTTGTAGGTGTCTAAGGACTTACTGTTAAGATTCTGGGCCTCCATTTGCCCCTCAAGAGACTTGGGGAGGGGTGTTGTCTTTTACAATTTTAATCCCAGCACTTGAAAGGCATAGGTAGGTGGATCTCTTTGAGTTCCAGATCAGCCTAGTCTACATAATGAGCTCTAGGTCAACCAGAGCAATATAGTGAGACTATTTAAAACAAAAAACAAGGTGTGTGTGGGGGTGACCCAGGTCTTAATCCCAGCTCTGGGAGGCAGAAACAGTTGGATCTCTCTCTGAGTTCCAGGCCAGCCTAGTCTACAGAGAGCTCTAGGACAGCTAGTGCTACACAGGGAAACCCTGTCTCTAAAAACAAAACAACAAAAAGATAGATCCTCACTATATAGACCAGGCTGGCCTCAAAGTCACAGAGATCTACCTTCTTCTGCCTTCCTGCTATGATTAAAGGTATAATCCACTAAGCCCCACAAGAGAGCTGATTTTTTTAAAAGTTATTTTATTATTATTGTGTGTTTGTGAGGGTGGGCACATGCCACAGCCTGCATGAGGAGGTCAGAGAACAACTTTTAGAATGCAGTTCTCTCCCACTGTGGCCTCTGCAGATCAAACTCAGGTCTACAGGCTTCTACAGCAAGTGCTTTTATCCACTGAGCCATCTCACCTGCCTCTTTTCCCCTTTATTTTTCTCCATTTTTTTTTCAAGGCAGGGTTTCTCTTTGTGTAGACCAGGCTGTCCTCAAACTCAGATCTGCCTACCTCAGCCTCCTGAGGGCTGGAATTAAAAGTGTGTGCCACCACCACCCAGCTATTTTTCTCCTTTTTTTTTTTTTTTTTTTTTTTTTTTTTTTTTTTTTTGTTGTTGTTGTTTTGAGACAGGGTTTCTCTGTGGCTTTGGAGCCTAGCCTGGAACTCAGAGATCCACCTGCTTCTGCCACCTGAGTTCTGGGATTAAAGGCATGCTCCACCACTGCCCGCCTTTTTCTCCATTTTTTAAAGACAGGGCCTTATGTATCTGAGGCTGGTTTCAGTCAAAAATTGGTATGTAACCAAGGGTAACCTTGTATTCCTAATCTTTTCTACTTTTCAGGTGCCGAGGATACTGGCTGTACCACCACACATGTGTTTATTCAGTGCTGGGGACTGAACTGGGGCTTCCTACATGCTAGGCAATTACTATAACTGAACTACATCCCCAATTCTTTTATGTTGTGTATTGTTTTGAGGCAGGGTCTCATGTAGCCTAGGCTGGCCTTGAACTCCTGATTCTTCATTTGTGTCTCCAGAATGTTGGAATTATTGACATGCACTTCACCTCAACTTAACCATTGCTTTGTCTGTTGTCTTCCTGCCCCTGGTTTATGTGTTCTTTCATTTCAGCTTCTCAACCTTGGACTAAGGAAAGAATCTTGAACAAGAGGAAAACACATCACTGCTGAGGAGACCGCACCTTTCTGCCTCCGTTCTCCAAAAGGCTTTCGTCCATTTGGGAAGAAAGTGAGGTGTACCCACATACCCTGTCTTCGTTGGCCTTTAATCTAACTTTTTCTAATTCCTTGGGTCAACTTTGATCACATATGCCCTCTAATCTTTAGTTTTTGGCAAGTGTGGACATCTGACCACCACCCTCTGGAGCCAGTGTTTTGGGCTGAGGGTACTGAGAGTGTACTGAGGACTGAGCAGCCAGGGCGTGTGCTGCAGTCACCATGTCCACCAAGGTCCCCATTTATCTGAAACGTGGCAGCCGCAAAGGCAAGAAAGAGAAGCTTCGGGACCTGCTGTCCTCAGACATGATTAGCCCACCACTTGGGGACTTCCGTCACACTATTCACATTGGCAGTGGTGGTGGTGATGACATGTTTGGGGACATCTCCTTCCTGCAGGGCAAGTTCCACCTCCTTCCAGGAACAGCAGTGGAGGAGGCAGAGGAGGATGGCAGCTTTGACCTTCCCTTCCAGTTCGCTCGCACTGCCACAGTGTGTGGGCGAGAGCTCCCTGATGGGCTTTCACCTCTGCTCAAAAACGCCATCTCCCTTCCTGTCATTGGTGGTCCCCAGGCCCTCACCCTACCCACAGCCCAGGCTCCCCCTAAGCCCCCTCGCTTGCACCTGGAGTCACCACAGCCTTCTCCAAAGTCCTCCCCGCAGGAGGCAGGAAATGTGGACATCTGGAGGATTCCAGAGGCCAGCTCACCCCACAATGGGATGAGCCCAGAGCCTGAGGCTGAAGAGCCTTTCCTGTCCCATGCCAGCTCCCTGCTGTCTCTGCACGTGGACCTGGGGCCTTCCATCCTGGATGATGTCCTCCAGATCATGGATCAGGACCTGGGCCGTGTGCAGATCCCCACATAGGACTCTTGGCTGAGCAGACAGGTCACCCAGGCTATGGTGATGCCTGGAGACATCTATGGACGTGGCCCTGATCTAGTAGTCAGGATCCCAGGTCCCACCTATGGGTGCTGGCCAGTGACTGTCATTTTGAGCCTTTCTTCCCTTCCCTCCTCCCAATGGACAGAGTGCATCTTTGCTTTCCTCTAACAACATCCACAGGGGACACATGCAAAAGTTGCCCCAGACACTCCTGATCCTCTTAGGTCATTTGAACCCTCACTTCCAATTGTCCCCTTTCCCTCAAGGTCCCATTTCAGGAAAACGCTGCTGAAATGGATTCCATCCCTTCCCAATTACCCTCCACTTCAGCATCATTTGGTGCCCTTCCCAGCTGTCTGTGTCCTGGTCTGGGAGCATGTTGTCCACAGCCAGACATGGTATGCTCTGTCCTCTCCCGTCCCTTCTTCACATGACCAGGGATTCTGGTTGCAATAAAACTTGCTGCTGCTGGTGGCTGAGCATCCTGTACCCTTGTTCCAGGGTTCCTTCCAAAGGTGGGCCAGTCTCCATGAACAGTAGGCTCATATGAGAAAAGCCACACCCTAGAAGATTCCAGCGGCTGGGCCTTCCATTCAGGAGTTTGTGCTTAAGTCTGCACCCACAATGAAAATGAAACAAGAATAACCTGGGTTGGATACTTTGTTGCTATGACAAAATACCAGATCAAAACAGCTTCAGAGAAGTTTTAACTTGGTTCACAGTTCCAGGTACAGTACAGCCCATTACATAGAGGAAATCACAAGAGTGGGAGCTCGAGGCAGCTGATCATGCTGTGTCCGTAGTCAAGCAATGCATGTGGGTGCA